TTTCGAAAAACGTGGAAAAACCACAAGAATTAATAGAAATGTTCCTGTTTTGGGCGGACTATTGATAGAGAATAATGTCTTTATTACAAAAATGCTGAAAAACCGTGAGTTGTTGCCTTAGTTATTTTTTTAATGGCGAAAAACTGCAAACTCGGCAAATTTGGTTGCACAACTTCCCTTTATCATATACACCCAGCGACACCGATGCCAGCTGACTGTGTACAAAACTGGTAGGAGGTAATACATTTGGGCGAAAATATTCAAAAATCAGTTTTTGGATGTTGCAATGGCAGTGGTGGGCCAGGATTTTTTTCCAATTAGTGACGGCACGACCTACCTGTGAAGTATGAACAAAACGAGTCGAGCCGTTGCTGGTGAAAAGTTACCCCAACTTTGGGGTCAAATTTCTCGGTAATGAAAACAGATATCAAAAATTCAAATGGTAACTTTGTGCCCACACTCAAGCTGAGTAGAATGAGCTATGTCTGAAGTGTTTTATCCAAAATTTGTAGGAGGAGATACATTTGGCGCGAAGCTATCCAAAAATCAGTTTTTTGGCTTTTGCTATGGCAACAGTGGGCCAAAATTTTTTTCCAGATTTTTCCTTATAACTAGGGTGGAGGTGTGACCTACCTGCCAAGTTTGAAAGAAATCGGCCAAGCCAAAAAAATCACAGAAGAAATCATACGTGAAAACACTGGAAATGTACACACACACACACACACACACACACACACACACACAAAACTACAAAAGTGATTATAAGGGCAATCCTAGCGGAGCGGATCGCCAATTATCAGGACACTTTGTGGTGATAAGCATAAAATCTGAGACCTCTGATGGAATAAATTTTTTTTTGTAGACCCTCCTGATCTCAAAATAGATGTGGAACCCAGATACAAAGATGGAAAGATTAAAGAAGGCGAGGACTTCTTTGCTTCTTGTAATGTAATATCGTCAAATCCACGAACTGACAACGTGGCATGGACTTCATTATTGGACAATTTTCAAGTGGATCCTAATAACCCACTGGAAATCTTAAGCATTACACGTGACAAGGCTGGAGAATACATGTGTTCAGCAGAGAATATATACTATGATGGAAGTACAGGAAATACTGAAGAGATCATTATAATAGATGTGCAATGTAAGTAGAGAGCGCTATTATTGTATGTGAGAATGGCACTAGAGAGCGCTATCATTGATATTCCTTTTACAAACTCTGGGTATGCCGAGCATACTGTAGAATACTTTATTTTTGCTTGTAATTTATTTTCGCTGAAAAATCCAGTGAACATATTTTTTTTCCTATATTTCACATTAATCAAAAATCAGTGAAAATAAATTTCATACAAAAAGCCTTTTCAGCTAAAATTAATTCCATCAAAAATAAAGTATTCTCCAGTATTACCTTTATTCTATTCACTTAATCTTAATAATCTAAGTCTTGTTAGCACAGAACTCATTTCCCTATTCAGCTATAACAACTTTAATGTAGAGTCAGTGTTTTTGTAAATGATCTCCAAACGTTTTACTGCAGTGCTTTAAGATTTCTTTATTGAAATGAATTGCAAATTCATACAATGTCTTGTTTATATCTGTATGTGCAGATATAAACATGTCCCATGCAATTCATTATTAAAATAATCTTTGTTATAATCACTAGACATTCCAGTTGTTGTGTTGGATGAGAGCAAGACTGTGAAAGAGGGAGACGCAGTGAGTATGATCTGCAGTACATTCATCACGGAAGCCAATCCCGCTGCCAGTGAGTTCCAGTGGATCCGTAATAGTGCTGTGGAGCAGACCACCGAAGAATTAACCTTAGATAGCGTAGCACGAAGCGATGCTGGGTTGTACAGTTGCTGGGCCTTCAATTATTTCTATGATGGCAGTCTAGGGAAGGGAGAGAGTACTACTGAGCTTGTTGTCCAATGTAAGTGTAACACTAATTGTGGATTGAGGTCATTGGTCAAAAATGTTAATTGTAGTATAGCGCAAATGTAACATGCTGATTGCCATGAAACTGAACAGATGTGAATAGTATGTTTTCAATAGTATGTTTTCTTTCATATTGCATTTTACAGATTCCTCGTTTCAAATTTTTATATTATTTGTCATATCTTCATCTTCTATGCAAGAGTACGTCACTAATTTCGTGAATTCCATGCAATGGCTTTGATTGGCCTTGTATATATATTATAAGCACTGTTGCTGAGTTAGATTCCATTCCATTTTTAATTTTCATTGAGGCCAAATAAAACAAATATTGCATTTGTGACAACTCTATCTTTCCCAGATTTTCAGGCTGATCCTGTATCTTTTTACGGCTAAGACAACTTTTAACTCTATTTGAAATTTCTCATTAGTCTCCGTTCAGGCGTAGCCTGAAAGGCGACTACTAATTCCTATTTCTGGTTCCTTCCGTCCACCCCCTTTATGTCTCCAACATTTTCTCAGAAATTCTGCAGCAGATTTTATGAAATTTGGCAGGTTGATGAGCAAGTCTCTGTTGAATATGCACGTAATTTTTATTTCCAGATCAGAAAATCCTATGTGGGTCAAGATTTTCATCAACAATTACTTCTTCCTACTGCACTGACAGAACAACTGAGCATGCTCAGAATACATTGATTCGGTTAGATTCAGATTTATGAATTATTGATTTCAGATTCACAAGCTTTACCAAATGTATTCGATCGGTAATGTATACTTTTCAGAACTCAGAACCTCAAAACCTCAGAACTATGCAACTTTGCAGAATCTCGGAACCAACTTCTAGAACCCAATTTCAAAATAGCTTACTTATCATTGTAAGTCATATTTTAGGTTATTATTAATATGACCACACCCTACCCAAAAATATGCAAATTAGCTAACTTGATTTAAGCAACCATTGAGCCAATTTCGTTCATATTTGGTAGGATTACACCTTGATACGAGTAGATGTGCTTCTGACAGCAATGACCAAGCTTTTCCAAAAATATGCAAATTAGATCAATGCAGTTATTTGATGCTATCTCTACCAGCACCGTGTCGATTTTATTTGCATTTGGTATGATTACACCTTGGCAAGAGTAGATGTGCTTTTGGCAATAATGACCACACCCTCCCAAGAATATGCAAATTAAAACAATGCAGTTATTTGATCTTTGATTCGACCCAGGTCCTAGTTATATACTAAGACCTTAATTAACAAAGAATTCATGTACATCAAGGTTCATTCAGATTTATGAATGTATGACAAGTAGTTTTGTTTTACTTGTGTACTCTGAGATTCTGAACATGGGTCAGTGGAAGTTTTTGGTGGTCAGTACAGATTAGATTATGGGAAATCACTTTATGGTGACTGTGCCCACATAGATTACATATTCATTCACATGTTTGCAGATATTGTTTGTACTACTTTATAATCAAAGAACGGAGACTGTGATATTCATGTCTTGTTTTTTTAACTAAAATGTTAACCATTATGCAAAATGTGACGTATTATCAAAAATATCCTCGTATAGTATGGGCCAAGCAGCTTCAAAGAATAATAAATTATTCATTTTCATAAAATAGTTGTAATAAATCAATATTTTTATCTATATTTTTTTTTGAAACCTGATAAGACAACAACATAGACCAACATTGGTTTAGAATGATAAAAAATGATCAGAAGTTTGTACCAATTTAAAATTTCAGCTGAGAAATGCATGGTATCGAATAATTTACAATTTCATTTTTCCAGATGCCCCTGTTGTGACTGTGCCATCAGTGGTAGCTCGTAGAGTAGGAGAGACACTGACAATTGAGTGTGAGGTTGATTCTCTGCCTGCACCAGAGTCAGTTCAGTGGGTTGCACCAGGTGCGGATCAGCCACTCAGTCAGACATCTACTGTGGAATTAGTCGACATTGGTAAAGGTGAAGGCGGAATCTACACATGTAATTCACAGAATACTTTCTATGACGGTGTACAAGGCACTGGTAGCGCCACAACGATAGTACAAATTGAATGTAAGTATTGCTCATTTCACTAGCGTTTGGAAGCCCTTGTTGCCTTTAATATAAGATCGCAGGGCCCATAGCATTGGGAAAATCATTTGAAAGTCTTTGGATTTTTTTTGAGGTCTGGAAAGTCTTTGAGTTGTCTTCAAATTGCAGGAACAAATCTTTGAAAAGTCTTTAAATTTCTTCATAGTTATTAATTCATTTCAGAAAGGGCTGTTGGTCACAGGTTGAACCCTGAAAGTAAGTCTTCATGGCTATGAACTTGTAAATAAATTATTTTTGTACACGTATGAACTGCTATTTTGAATTTTGATGAGCTTTGGTGATGATGTTAACTGAATTAAGGGTCAAAATGTCAAGGGATGCAAGAAAGTTTAGGAAAAGGTCTGGAAAAGTCTTGGAAATCAGTTGGCTCTCGGATCACCTGTGTGGTTAAGATTTATGGCATGAACATTTTGTATCACGTGTCTAACTTGAACAGTTATTGCCTTGAATATGCAAGAAATGGATCTCTTTGAATATACTTTGATTCATTGACGAGTTACTTTTTGCACGATGAATGTGCATTTTGACATTGAACTATGAAAAGAAAAAAAAAAGAATTCAAGTTAAAAATGTAATATTTTGATTTCAGCGAAATGTTTTTTTACATTGCAGAGATTCGCAGTCAGCGAAAATCCATTATTCAAGATTCCTAGTGTATTCTATATTGGTCGAAATTTTGATGCAATTGTTTTCTCAGATGGTCCTGAGGTGAGTCTGGAAAGTCCATTATTGCCAGTAACTGAGGGAACCAAGGTGACTATTAACTGTACTGTTGATAGCCAGCCACCACCTTTTAAATACGAGTGGACACAGATCATGAAAGATGGAACTGTCAATGAACTTGGCGAGAATATGGAATATCTAAGCTTTGCATCGGTCGATAGATCTAAAGGCGGTAACTACACTTGTAAAGCAACAACAAAGTTCTACGATAACATGGATGAAGAAGCTTCAGCCTCGGCAAAACTTGTTATCCACTGTAAGTAAGAATGCATTACATAATCACTGAGTTATCAAATAAGAACAGTCGTGGTTCCGAATCTTCGATAATTTGATTGCTTTTGTAACAATTTTTTCACTGCTACAAAATTGTAATTTTCAGACTCGTGAAAATGTGTACACTCTAAAATAGAACACTGTCTACTTTTGACTCGCTCATTTTCACTTTTTGCATAATATGTGTGCTCATCTTAATCTTGAACTTGTTCAGGGAGTGTGCAAACCAATATACAGATTTCATTAGTTTAAATTGCTGCAAACCAAAATAGTCGCATCTGTCATCAAATCTCACATTTCACTGTTACAATGGCATAAATGTATATCTAATAACATAAGCAGTCAACAATCAATTTACTGAATTTTCTTCTAACCTTGATCACTTCCCATCCTCCTACGTTCCGCACTTTGTTGTAAATAAGCTTTACATAGACGAAGTCCGAAAACTGGGAATATTAATTTGGGTTCCGTCCGTTCCTGTGTTCAATCCGTACGTCCGTGTGAACGTCTGGAGCAATTTATCAGGCACCCCTTGACCGATCTCGTTCAAACTTGGTATACAGACAAGGTATGATGATCTCCATATGCGCGCTGATTTTCGTTACGATTTGATTAAATATGGCTGACTGGCAGCCATTTTCCCCTCACTTTTGCTAAATTCTGATATTTAAACGTCTCTGGAACGGTTTCTTTGAGCTGAACAGGGCGATTTCAATCACACTTTGTACATAACCTTTTTTTCCGAGATTCGGTCCAGATGGCCAATTGGCGGCCATTTTTTCCGTTTTCATGCTGATTCCTCCATAAGATATGGCCTTATTCAGTTCAAAGTTTGTACATAGGTACTATACTTCAAGATAACACAACACTGTGTTTTGTTTTGAGATTTGATCATTTTTTTCGAAATGGCGGCCATTTTGTTTAATATCTTAAAATCAGTCTGTAACGTGTCTGGAACTGTTTCTTAGGGATGAATAGGGTGATTCCAATCAAACTATGTATGATGATCATGTATATTGGGTTACACGTGCACGTCATATTTTTTTCAAAATTTGGGCAAAATGGCTGACTGGCGGCCATGTTTTTTTTTCTTTTCCTTTTTTGTGTCGATTCCTCTAAAAGATATGGCCTGATTCACTTGAAAGTTTGTACGTATGTCGTATATCGCAAGGTAACAAAACAACATGTTTTGCCTTGAGATTTTATCAAATTTGTCAAAAAAAAACACATAAAATATCATTCTGTAACATGTCCGAACT